CACGGAAGGCTCCCAGAGCTACTGTCTGCGCCGAAGCAGACGGCCCCATCTTTTGCCCGTGGAGCAGCTGCTGGGTCGGTGCCACCAGGGGTCCTAGATGCCTGTAAGCACCAACAGTTGAAAGAGAAGAAAAAACAGCCTCAACGTTTCTCGTCTTCTCTCTCAGTGTCTGCAGCCAGTGGGACTGTTAGCGGGTGCCTCCACCCCAGACCTCACGCTACAACCTTGGCTCCCTCAACACAACCTCCAGCCACTCCTGCCCTGGAACCACCAGCCGCTCCCAGCCAGCTGAAAGCCTGCCCTAAATAGCTCCCCACCCACGCTGCCCTGGGGCTCTGCAGGCTGGCTTCTCCTGATGGGACCCCCAGCTCAAGTTTGCTCCCCTCCATCCCTTTCTCCACTGGGCAACGAGTACATATTGTCCAGAATAAAAGGTTACTTATGTGTGCCACTGGGAGCCCCATGCATTAAGACTCTACCTACTATTCAAAAGAACAATAGCCTTCACTTGGATTAACACCTCCTTTGGGCCCAGCCTCTCCTAGGCATCTCTGCTATCCAGATAGAATGAGATTGAGTTGGAAGTGCTGACCCAGAAAGATGCCCACGATAGCTTGAGTGAAAGCAAAACAGAACACCTGGTAGTTTGTGTGGCATAACCCACGCCCCACCTTTTTTTAAAAAAGGGATTTTTTTAACCCCCTAGTATTTCAACTATGCCGATTGATTAAGGGAGTTTGTGGAGGAAAGCCAATAAACCTATCACTCCATGCCACACCTACTTAAATATCTTTCAGATTCTTAAATGACCGGTAGAACAAAATTCAGTAACGTGGTCATTCTGTTGCGTGGGCAGGCCTCAGAGTTTGGTTTCTAGAGCCGCGGTTCTCAACCGGTGGGTCCCGACTCCTTTGGGGATGGATTGACCCTTTCACAGGGGTCGCCCGGTTCATAACAGTAGCAAAATGACAGTGACGAAGTAGCAACGGAAAATAATTTTACGGCTGGGGGGTCCCCACCACATGAGGAACTGTACTGAGGGTTGCGGCATGAGGAAGGTTGAGAACCGCTGTTCTAGAGCGTCACCATCAATCGGATATCGAAATAAAGTGAGCAGCATGGAATTATTGGTTTCCCCGGTGCCTATGAAAGTTATGCTTCTTCGCTCCAAGCTCACTGCCACGGAGACCATTCTGACTCACAGTGACCCCACAGGACAGGGTAGAGTTGTCCTTGTGGGTTTCCGAGGCTGTAACTCTTTACAGGATAGGAAGTCTCATCTTCCTCCCTTGGAGTGGCTGAGAGTTTCCAATTGCTGACCTTGCAGCTAGCCGCCCCGCAGTGCAGCGACTCTGCTGCCGGGGCTCCGCGGGCTAGTCTATTAGGTATATTACAGGGCTATGAACAAGCCCGAGATACGTGAGACACAGGGATAAGAAGTGAGCACATGGTGCCACCAGCCTTGTCCAGATGCATCATCTACGAAGAGCAACAGAAGGAGGTGTGTGCCTGGATAGCTGTCACTCGCTCACTCACTGCCATTGGGTTGTCGCCAACTCATAGCAACCCAACAGGACAGGGGACAACTGTCC